TACCCATGGGACTTTTTTTTTTAAAGAACCATTTATTTAATTTTACTTATTATTTTTTAATTTGTTACAGGGCACATGTGTTCACCAGAGAGAGAGAGAGGGAGAGAAAGAAAGAGGGGGGAAAACAAGAAAGCAAGCCTCCGGGTCTGCGACTGAAACTGCAGTTGGCCATGTGGGAGTCCAGCACCCAACCACCTGCTGGCCCCTCTCAGATTTATTTTTTTAAGAATTATTTAATTGTATTTATTTATTTTTTTTTTTAAATTTACTATAGGGCATGAGCACTGACCAGAGAGAAAGAGAGAGAGAGAGAGAAGGAGGGAGGGAAAGTGAGAAAGCAAGCTGCCAAGTCTGGAACTGAAACCACGGTGGGCCATGTAGGAATCCAGCACTTTAACCACCACACCACTGCTGGCCCCAGAATTTCAAATTCTAATTGAATGCCCTCTAATATAGAAAAGAAGACGAAAAACTTTCTGGGCTAGCAGGTAACACAGAAGTTAAAGTAGCCAGATCCCATATGGCTGACCATCAGTGGTTTGAGTCCTGGACCCAACAGCTTGAAAAATACACTGGGAGCATGTGCATGCATACCCAGAATCCTGAGAGGAAAATCAAGAACGGACTGCAGTGAGGCCATCTCCTCAGGGAGTGGTTTCTCACTTTCCCTATTTCTCTGTCTGTCTTACACCTTATAACAAAAACAAAACAAAACAACCCAAAACTTTCTGGACCCTAGCACTTTTTCCAGAAGTGCTCTTAGCTTTCCAATCAACTGAGTTAGCAAATAAATACCGAAAACAACTCACTTTCCATCACCTCTTCTGAGACCCGCTATAAAGGCGACCATGGTTTCTGCCACTCCAGTGAAGAAATGAAGTTTGTGGTTGGAGAGCTCTGGCTAACCCACCACCATTCTACCACATCCCAATTCTGAGCTGGCCGTGTGTGCAGAGTTCACTCTGCAACTTCTGCTGCCACAGAGAAGAGGGGGCCACCTTTCCCACTGCAATTGCTGCTGTAAGGGCTTACCACAAGACAGAGCCTGCCTGAGAGTGGAGCCAGAAAAAAGAGAGAAGTACCGCTGGGAAGTTCAGAACTAAGCCCAGGAGACTTGGTCCAGCAAAGTGTGAAGCTCAGCCTACCCGCAGCTCTTTGGGTTATGTGAGCTAATATACAACCCTACTGAGTTGTTTACTTAGAATCAATTTGGATCGGGTTTCATCCCCTAAATGGAAATAGGCCTATCAGTTAAAATGCCTTTGGCTGGAAGTAAGAGAACACCTGACTAGAATGGCCATAACAACAGATATTTATTATCTCATACAACAGGCAGCTCTAAGATCGGGAGCTCCAGGGCCATTGGTTCAACAAAACAACCACGCAGTGAAGAATCTGGGCTTCCCATCTGTCCCCCTGACAACCCTTAGAATTCTGGCTTTTGGTTTTGAGTCGTGGTGGTTGCAAGATGGCTACCAGTAGTCCGGTCGTCCCATCCTTGTTCAGCAGCATCGAAGGAAGGAAGGTAGGAAAAATTTGTTTTTGTGTGAAGAAAACATTTTCCAAGACCAGCCACTCCAGTTCCCTTCTCCTTGGTGCCATTGGCCAGAGCTTGGTTCACGCTGCCTTGCAGCCTCCACCCCTCTCAACCAATCACTAGTTTGCAAAGACCAGTCCTAATTTGGAAAAGCCCATCTTCCTTAAGAGCACCAAAAAAAGACAACTGATCAAAATTAGGGTTCTATTATTATTATTATTTTTGGAGAGGTTTTTGCTATAGGGCATGTGCGCTTGCCAGAAAGACAGAGAAGCAAGAACCACACACACACACACACACACACACACACACACACGCACATCTCCGCCCCGGGGAGATGGCCACACTGCAATCCCTTCTCCTCCATTCTCCTCTCGGGATCTTAGGCACGCATGCACACACACCTGGTGTGAGTTTAAGTCACTGGGTCCGGGACTCGAACTGCAGTCGACTACATGGGGGTTCAACGACATAGCTATTACACTAACTGCTGGTCCCAGGATTCTATTTTCAAGGCAGGTGGGAGAAATGACTCTTGAATATAGGTAACTAATAATGTCTGCTGTCCAGGCACTGTTGTTAAGTGAGCTTCAAGTCTTCAAATATTCACGAGACCATGAAGGATTTGACATCCAAACCAAATCATAAGAACTATCATTTAAATTTCCATGTGCATAATACCCAAATACACACCAACTGTCATTTTTATTCTTAAGAAACTGTGAAACTGACCACAAAACTTTAAATTCTTTGGAGTAGTTTTACCCAATGGTCCAGGAGTAGTAGGTATTGTGATACAGGTTATTTGCCACGTGCTTGATCACAGGAATATTATGAGCAAGCCTTCTATTCTTAGAGCCTAAGATTTATCTTGATAGCTAAGGTTGTTAGACTCTGCCACAAAGTACAGCTAAAGAACCGGCTGGTGGGGGGGACCAGCAGTTAATGTAGTAGCTATGTCACTGGACTCCCATATAGTCAACCACAGTTCGAGTCCCAGACCCGGCGGCTTAAACTCAAGCCAGGCGTGTGTGCATGTGTGTGCACGCTCAAGATCCCAAGAGGAGAATGGAGGAGAAGGAATTATGGTGTGGCCATCCCCCCTGGGGGTGATTTCTTTTTCTCCGGGGAGCGCACACACCCTATAGAAAAAACCCCTCAAAAAAAAAAAAAAAAAAAAGAACCAGCTGGGGGGCTTGCAGGTGATGTGGTAGTTAAGGCACTGGACTCCCACATGGCCCACCATGGTTTGGGTTCCAGACCTGGTGACTTGCTTGCTTTCTCATTCTCTTTCTCTCTCTCTCGCTGGTAAATTAAAATAATAATAAAATTAAATAAATAATTCTTAAAAAAAAAAAGAACCTGCTAGGGCCATCCAGTGGTATAGTGGTTAAGGCGACTGGATCCCACATGGTCAAGTGCATGGTTAAAGTCCTGAACCTGGTAGCTTGAGAAACACACTGGACATGTGTGTGTGTGTAAGGGCTTCCTAAGAAAATGGAGAAGGGGGGACCAGCAGATGGCATAACGGCTAGTCACTGAACTCTCATGTAGTCGACCACGGTTCGAGTCCTAGACCCAGTGGCTTAAACTCATGCCGGGCGCATGTGCGTGAGTGCCCAAGATCACGAGAGGATACTGGAGAAGGGATTATGGCATGGCAATCCCCCCCCTGGGAGGATGGTTTCTAGCTTTCTGTCTGTCTGTCTCTCTGTTCTTTCTGGTGAGTGTACAAGTTCTATAGCAAAAAAAAAAAAAAAAAAGGAGAAGGGACTGGGGAATGGCCATCCCCTTGGGAGCTGCTTTCTCACTTTCCCTTTCTCTCTCTGTACTGTACATCGAAACTATCTAGTGGTGCCTGCTCCTTAAAATATACCACTTTAAATACATGATCCTCTGCTCTGGGCTCATCACCCAGAGGTTATTAAGTAAAATGGTAATGTGAAATTCACAGGCCAGAACATGGCATTTAGTATTGTAAAGTCGAGGAAAAATACAGGAAGGTTTGAACCAGGGTAACAGGTACAGATGGTGATGGGGGAAGGGGAAGGTAGTGAACAGAGCGTAAATGTTCATTTCTGGGCCGGCCTTGTGGTTAAGGGAGTTGGATCCTACATGGCCGACCACAGTTTGTATCCTGGCCCTGGGGACTTGAAAAACATGCTAGGCATGTGTGAATATGTGCCCCAAGTTCCCCAAAGGATGGAGAAATGGAGGAGAAGTGACCACAGCATGACCATGCCCTACTGGGGGTGCCTTCTCCACTCCCTTCTCTTTTTATGTCTCTGGCTGGCAAGTGCACAAGCCTTCTGGAAAATTAACAAAACATAACGAAAACAAAAACAAATAAATGTGCATTTCCAAAGCTAACCTCTACCATAGCTGTTTTGTGAAATCATTCCTACTGCACTCTTAAGATATATACGGCAAAGAAAATGAACTTACAAAGCATCAGCGGTGTAAGGAAAAAATGAAAATATCATCAGTAGCAAGTGTAAACTAGTAAAGATAATCACAGTACAGTAAGTTGCTAAAAGCTTTGGCTGACCTTACTAAAACTTTACTTACTGTGCCTTAAGCATTCCCACTCACATTTGAGACCTGAATTTATTACTTCCTGAGAGGTGCCTATTTCTTCCTTCACTAACCACTTCGATGAACTTGCCTGTGCATTCACATCTGTTATCACAATGATTCATTCACTTCCTAGTTGCACTAGAGGTTAATTACCTTAACAGTTAATTGCCACAGGAAACAACAGCGAGAAATGTAAGAGGGGAGAAAAGAAGTGAGCGCTGATCCTGACAATGAGCGAGCCACTTCTCCCTAAACAGTAAAGCCCGCGCCCCTTACAGCTATAGAGTGTATAGTGAGTCTGAATTGTCAGTTCCGTGCCCGAATTGAGTTGGACGTCAGCCTCACCCAGCCGCAGAGGTCAATGTGTCCTGGGGGTAGTTCTCGAGAAGAGAGTGGGCCTAGAAAAGGCCTTGAGTTGCACAGATGGGCTTGTGTGTGACGTTTAGGAGGTCACCACCCTTTTCTGAGCCCCCATGTGCTCAACTGTAAGAAGAGATCATAACGCTTTTTTTCCTTAATTGAGAGAGAAAGAGAGAGAGAGCATGCTACAGTGGATTGTGGTCCTGCTGCCATCTCTTCTCCTCCATTTCTCTATCCTGTCAGGATTTGGGGTGGGCATGCACATGCACCCAAATTATGTTTTTTCAAGTCACCAGGGCTGTGATTTGAACCAGGCTCAGTCATGAGGAACTTAGCTCCCTAAGTATGCCACTTAACTGCTGCATCATGGGGCCAGCCCAGGGGTCATAACACCCTTAAGGCGGCTGCAGTGAGGAAGAAATGAGACCAGGTATGTAACACATCTCTTGTTCCTGGCACTAAATAGCCACTCAAAAACTGGTAGCTATCGTTACTGCTTTTATTATGAAGTCACCCATAGACTTACCTAAAGAAACAACGGCAACACTCTCCGGCAAGAAATGTAATCTGTATCGGATCAGTAAATGCACCAATATGATGCAGATAGCTGTGGGAAAAATAAGACACTGTTTGAAAAAAGCTCAACTTTGACTGATAAATACCGAGTTCGAGGCAGTGATTACTTCTTGGAGGCTGTCAGAGACATGGACAGTCGACAATGACACAACGAACTGCAGCTGTACTTTAATGCCATACTTTATTTTTAAGTATTTAATTTATTATTAAGTTTGCTATAGGGCACGTGTGCTCACCAGGGAGATAGGGGGTGGGAACAAGTCATCAGGTCTAGGACTTGAACTGTGGTTGGCCATGTGGGAGTCCTATGCTTCAACCACCAGGTCACCTGCTGGCCCCAGTGCCATACTTCTTAACCTGGAGGCAGACATGCAATGTTTGTTCTTTGTGTGCCTGGACTAGCTCATTTTCTAGTGGCTAATGGAAGAGCAACAGATTTAATTTTTTAAGAGGTTTTTGCCTTAGGGAGAACGCAATCAGAGAGAGAGAGAGAGACATAGAGACAGTGAAAGGGAAAGTGAGAAATCACCCCCGGAGGGATGTCCACACCTCAATCCCATCATCAGCTGGAAAATTCGAAATGGCAAGGAGGAAGTCAATCAAATCAGTTTTATTTTTTTAAGAATTATTTTATAAATTTATTATTATTTTTAAATTTGGCCAGAGACAGGCAGAGAAAAGGAAAATGAGAAAGCAAGCCACCAGGTCCAAGACTTGAACCACAGTAGGATGTCTGGGAGTCTAGCACCTTAAGCACGATGCCCCAATATCAATTACTTTTACTAAATATAATTGCAATGGATTACACTGACACAATGACTATCACCATGTGACTGGCTCTCTCTTTGTTTTGTTTTGTTTTAGGGGGGGGATTTTTGCTATAGGGCTTGTGTACTCACCAGAGAGACAGAGATAGAAAGTCAGAAATCACCCCCTAAAGGGAATGGCCATGCTACTATTCCTTGTCCTCCATTTTCCTCTCGGGATTTTGGATACACACGCACATGTGCCTAGCATGAGTTTCAAGCCATAGGTCTGGGACTTGAACTGCGGTGGACCATGTGGATCAGTTAAGGTGGTCCAGCGCCTTAACCACTATGCCACCTGCTAGCCTTTTTTTTTTTTTTAAGAGAGATTTTTTTGCGGGACCAACAGTTGGTATAATGGCTATGTGGCTGGATTCCCATGTAGTCAATCACGGTTCAAGTCCTGGACCTGGTGGCTTAAACTCATGCCAGGCATGTGTGCATGCGTGCCCAAGATCCTGAGAGGGGAATGGAGGAGAAGGGATTGTGGCATGGCCATTCCCCCTGGGGGATGATTTCTCGCTTTCTGTCTCTTTGTCTCTCTCTGTCTCTCCAGGGAGCACATGTGTCCTATAGCAAAAACTACTTCACAAAAAAGAAAAGAGATTTTTTTGCTAGAGAGCATGTTCTCTCAATGGAGAGACAGAAAGAAAGTGAGAAATCATGCCTCGAGGGGATCCCATGCCATAATCCCTTCTCCTCCACTCTCCTGTCAGGATTTTGAGCACACATGCACATACACCCAGCATGAGTTCTGGGACTTGAATCTCAGTCAGACATGTGGGAGTCCAGAGCTTTAACCACTATACCTCCTGCTGACCCCCGTGACTGGCTCTCTTTTAACACAGAAGAAGTAAGAGTGTTTTATAAACAGAAAAAGTGAAAGCTTTGGTTTGGTGACAAGAAGTCAGAGATTTGAAGATGGGATACTCTTGCCCCTTAGCTGGGTACAGCTGGGCACTGCTGATCCCTTGCATGGAGAGCCCCAAGCCAGGAACAAGGCTGTGCCTGTCCCAAGTGCTGTCTACTTATTCCCCCAGTTCTCCTCTGAACCAGCTGTTACTACCATTATTTCCTTTGGTTAGAAAGGAGAAAACGAGGGGGGGCCAGCAGGTGGCATGGTAGTTAAGGGCACTGGACTCCCATATGGCAAACTACAGTTAGAGTCCCAGACCTGCGGTTTCCTTTCTCACTTTCTCTCAGTCTATCCCTCTTTGGTCAAATATGTGTGTGTGTGTGTGTGTGTGTGTGTGTGTGTGTGTGCAAATAAATAAAGAAATCTAAATAAGATAATTCTTAAAAAAAAAAAAAAGTGAGAAAATGAGGCTTAAAGACCTCGCACCTTGGGGCCAGCAGGTGGCTTGGTGGTTAAGGTGCCGGACTGGCTGACTGCAATTCAAGTCTCAGAGCTGGTGGCGTAAAAATCCCACCAGGCACATGTCCACGTGTGCCCCAAATCCCCAGGAGAATAGACTGTGGTGTGGTCATCCCCCGAGGGGGTGTGTGTGATTTCTCACTTTCCCTCTCACTGTCTCTATTGCTGGTTTGGTGACAAGAAGTCAGAGATTTGGGGATGGGATACTCTTGCCCCTTAGGTGGGTACAGCTGGGCACTGCTGATACCTTGCCATATGGCAAAAACCTAAAGGAAAAAGATAAAACGCTCACACCTCTGCTAGATGCCACCGTGCCCTGTGCTCTTAACTACAGTACTCCCCCAAACACCCCCAACTGCCTCCTCTGGGCTGCCTGCCTTCACTTTCAACTTCTAAAATGGGACTATGCCTGATTTCCCTCACAGCGGTGCTGCTGTGAAGGACAAGGCTATAACGCTATATCTAAAGGAGTAAGTATCTCTGGACCATCACTCCCTGACCCCCACCCCAACAGGGAGACACTCTCACACAGATGATTCTGGAACTACATACGACTTCATGGTCCAAGTGTTGGTGGCATGTCTCTTTCTTTTATTAGGCATGTGGGTGGTCTACCATCATATCACTCAGGATTTTTTTTTTAAGTGTATTTCTTTCATGAAAGACAGTGCAAGAGAAAGTGAGCACATGAGAGAGAGTGAGAAAGACAGACAGACAGACAGGGCCCCTTGACAGTTTTGTTATCCTGCAGGCCCCTTCCCCCAGCCCTCCAGCTAATCAGGAGCTTAGGTGTTGCACACCTGGTGTGTTTCAGGTGGGCCCTGGGTCCAAACCTGTGGCTGGTCAAGTAGTTTCCGCATGGTTTATTAGGACGTGACCACCTGCACCACAAGGGCGAGGCCAACCACAGTACCAATTGTACTAAAAATAATTTTTAAAAAAATGTCAAAATACTCTGCCTGCCTATTAACTGGCCACCCTCAGAGCCTGCTTTGACAAGTTAAAATTTCTTTAATCCAACCAAAACAACCAGGTGACCAGAAAAAGCAAACAGTTGTAAATATAGAAATTTTGTCCTCCTTTCATTCTGTGCTTTAAACTATCAATCTGTGGTGTTATTTTAAGCTAAATATTTAACCTAGTTAGAAAAGTCCTACATTAAATACTAGGATCAAGAAAAAGTTCCAGGGAACCAGCAGTTAGCGTAATGGCTATGTCACTGGATTCCCACGTAGTCGACCGCGGTTCGTGTCCCGGACCCGGTGGCTTAAAACTCACGCCGGGTGCGTATGCGTGCGTGCCCAAGATCCCGAGAGGAGAATGGAGGCTCGAGGGGACTGCGGCGTGACCATCCCCCCTGGGGGGTGATTTCTCGCTTTCTGTCTCTATGTCTCTCTCTGTCTGTCTGGCGAGCGCACGCGCCCTACAGTGAAAATCTCTCAAAAAAAAGAAAAGAAAAAGTTCCAGGGTAGGCCCCTTAGCCTAGTGGTTCAGGGAGCTTGATCTCACGTGGCTGTCCCTAGATGGGGCCTCAACCCCAGCAGCTTCATAAACACGTGAGGCACACGTGGGTATGTGCCCCAAATCCCGACAGGATGGAGAAAGGGAGCAGAGGGCCCTGTGGCAGGACCATGCCCCATGGGGAGGTGCCTTCTCTCCCCCTTCTCTCTGGCGAGTGCATGTGTCCTCTGGTAACTAGGAAAAAAAAAAAGTTCAAACGCATAAACACAAGTGACCAGGGAGCAAAGCCACTGTCCAGGAAAAATGCAGGCACAAGAACACATAAGTAAACAGTAAACAGTTGTAGGTAACTGGTTTCTGTTCTTCCCTTGTACCTAGTTAGACTTTTTAAATTAATCTTAAAAGATTTTTTCTTGGAGCCAGCAGGTGGTATGGTGGTTAGGGTGCTGGACTCCCACATGGCCAAGCATGGTTTGAATCCCAGACCTAGCAGCTTGCCGTCTCACTTTCTCTCTCTCTCTGCCCCAAAAGCTGTCTCTCTTTGGTGAGCATATGTGTCCTATTAAAAAAAAAAAAAAAAAAGATAATAATAATAAATAATATTAAATAACTACTTATTTAAAAAATAAATAAATAAAGGCTGTTTTTGGTCAGCCCATAGCCTGGTAGTTAAGGCAGCTGGATCCCAAATGGCTGACTATGCTGTTTGAGTCTCTGACTCAGTGGCTTGTAAAATATATGCTGGGGGACCAGCAGTTAGCGTAATGGCTATGTCACTGGACTCCCATGTAGTTGACCACGGGTCGAGTCCCAAACCCGGTGGCTTACACTCACGCCAGGTGCATGTGCATGTGTGTCCAAGATTCTGAGAGGAGAATGGAGAAGGGATTGCAGCGTGGCCATCCCTCCTGGTGGGTGATATCTCGCTTTCTGTCTCTTTGTCTCTCTCTGTTGTTCTGGCAAGTGCATGAACCCTATAGCAAAAAAATAAAAACTTCTCCAAAAAAAAAAAAAACCCACCTGGGCCTGTGTCATGTATGCCCATAGTCCTGAAAGAAGGGAGAAGTGGAGAAAAAGGCATTATGGCATGACCATTCACCAGGAAGGATGATTTCTCTCCCTCATCCCCCACCCCATCCCCATCTCTCTCTGAGAAGAAAATGGAGGAGAGGGGATTGCAGTGTGGCCATCCCCCCAGGGGGTGATTTCTCGCTTTCTGTCTCTCTGGCAAGCACACACACCCTATAGCAAAAACCTCTCTAAAAAAAAAAAGAACGAGGGGAATGGGACCAGCAGATGGTATAATGGTTACGTCACTGCACTCCCACATAGTTGACCACAGTTCGAGTTTTGGAACTGTGGTTGCTTAAACTCACGCCCGGCACGTGTGAGTATGTGCCCAAGATCCTGAGAGGAGAATAGAGGAGATAGGATTGCAGCATGGCCAAATACCCCTGGAGAGTGATTTCTCACTTTCTCTCTGTCTCTTTGGCAAGTGCACACAAAACACAAAAGCCTCTCAAAAAAATAAAAAAAGATCAAGGGGAAAAGCTGCCTTAATAGGTAAATATAAGGTCCATCAGTGACAGATAATGGATCTCAGCCATTACAACGAATAATAAGGTCTGGACAACCACAGTGGTATGGGACACTACACACAATACTGGGCCCATGTGGGAGGCCTGGGTTCAGATCCCAGGTTGACCCGGACGACAGGCACGCCTGTGATCCTCGCTGGCTGGGAAGCTGGGAGAAGGGTTGCAAAGTAGCAAGATCTTCTCAAGGATATTTCTCTGTCTCCAGCAAGTGCACATGCCCCGTAGCAAATTTTTTTTAAAAAATAGGGACCAGCAGATGGCCTAATGGCTATGTCACTGGACTCCCATGTAATTGACTGTGATTAGAGTCCTGGACAGAGCAACTTAAAACTCACATCAGGCATGTGTGCATGTGTGCCCAAAATCCCAAGAGGAAAATGGAAGAGAAGGGATTGCGGTGTGGCCATCCCCTCTGGAGGGTGATTTCTCACTTTTCATCTCTGTGTTTCTTTCCATCTCGTTGGTGAGCACACACTCTATGGCAAAAATCTCTCTTAAAAATGAAAAATTAAAAAAAAAACTCTTAAAACTTTTTTTATTGGGACCAGCAGTTGGCATAATGGCTATGTCACTGAACTCCCATGTAGCCGATCGAGGTTCGCGTCCCGGACCTGGTGGCTTAAACTCACGCTGGGCGCGTGTTCATGCGTGCCCAAGATCCTGAGAGGAGACTGGAGGAGAAGGGATTGCTGCATGGCCATCCCTCCTGGGGGGTGATTTCTCACTGTCTGTCTCTCTGTCTCTCTCTGTCTTTCTGGCGAGTGCACGCACCCTATAGCAAAAACCTCTCCAAAAAAAAAAATTTTTTTTAATAAAAAAAATTTTATTATTAACTTTACTTATGTATTTTAATTTTGACCAGAGAGGGACAGAGAGAGAGAAAAAGAGAAAGTGAGAAAGCAAGCCGCCAGGTCTGGGACTCAAACCATGTGGGAGTCCAGCGCCCTTAAACACTGTGCCACCTGTTGGCCTAAAAAAAAAAAAAAAAAAGACACTTGACTGATGTCTAGCAATCTTGAAATTTGTCTCTAGTGTCTCACCAACCAGGTGGGTCAATCACTTGACTACTCTAGGCCTAAATTTCCTCAGCCGTTACATGAGAAGGTTGGACAAAATAAAATTTTAAGTTTGAAAGAAGTGAATGCACTTAAACGGAGACATTACATGAGTAAAGTGTGGAAGGTGGTACACAGATATGGCAAAGCCACGACCAGGGTTAGTGGGAGTGGCAGGGGTTTCTGATCTTCCACTGGGCAGTAAAACCTTAAACCGTTACTTAGAAACCTAACAAATACTATAGACAAAATGCTATTGTGGTTGAAGCTAGGGTCACGGTCAGATGCCCTACCTGACTCCCTTTGCCTCCTGCCACTTCCGCCTACACACAAACACAAACACAAACACACACGACTCCTGTAAGCAGATTTTGAAATCCACCAACCTAGATGTTTAAGATTCTTTCTAGGTTCAAAATCTTTCTTTCTTTCTAAGGCTAAGATATGCCATCAAGGCTCTTCAGAATTGCTTTCCAACATTAACAATACAAAGAATCTTAGAAAGGGAGGATCTCACTTTTGTTTTTAATTTTATTTATTAGTATTATTTAATTCGACCAGAGAGAGTAAAGGAAAGTGAGAAAGCAAGCTACCAAGTCCAGAACTTGACTGACAGTTGGCCATGTGGGAGTCTAGCATTTTAACCACCGAACTCACCTGCTAGCCCTTGAAGGACCTCATTTTAACCTACCGTTTTCCCTCAGTGTTTGAAGTGAGAATCCAATGGGAAGAACTGACCAAGTAAACTGTGCTGACAGAGTATCCCTGCAGATACGCAAGGTGAAGGGCGCCAGTGTCTCTACTCACCTAGGACAAGGAGGCTGAAGAAGATGGTCATGCCACTCGACTGTTCCTCCTGCTGAGCCTGCTCTCCTGTCTGCACTGGGAGGATGGGCTTGGCAAAGGTGGGAAGCACCAGTTTCGTTGTGACAACCAAGGTGGTGTGGAGGGTGACATTGAAACTCTCATGAGTTGTATTGGGGAACTTACTGAAACACATGAAAAGCAGCAGAATTAGAAAAAAGGAGAAAAGGGTGCAAAGTATCAATCCATACACCTCAAAGGGGAAAGAATCTGCCGAAGAGTTTATGGGACTCACAAATCTTACAACAGACAGGCCTCAGAGGGAAACTGATTTGCCTGCACAGTAAAAGCCTCCAAGTGGCCTCAGGTGCTCTGGAAAACAGCCACGTAGAGGAGAGGTACAAGGCAGGAATCTGGGCTGCCTGCTCTTTAGCCCTTTACGGGTTTACAGGGAGCCCAACCAGAATCTCATCACATTCCAAGATCCAAGACTATCACATAGAGCCCTTCTGTCTCCAGCTTGTTTCCCTTGGATTATTTCTGAAATTTGAAAAGCCACTGAATCTGCCTATTTGTTAATCTGGTCAAAATGCCCGACTCTACCTTACAAAATCCTTCTCAGATTTAAAAAGGCACAAACGGAGCCTCTTCTGTAATGCCCTACCCCACCCCAGTTCACCCACCCAACTCAGGTTCCCACAGCTCTTTCCTCACACTGCGACGGGACAGTGAACTAGTGCAATGCTGAAATAATCATTATAGTTGTGACTGTAACAGTGAATTAAGAGCACTGCTTCATTTTGGGAACTGGGTAATATAATCACCTCTTGTTAAATAGGCATAACATCCCCGAAGTGAGTGCTATTACTTTTCCTGTTATACTCATGAGTAACAGGCTCAGGGAGGTTGCAAAACTTGGCTAACTTCTTAGTTAATCAGTGCCAGAAACAAACCCAAACTTAAAATCAGCTTTAAATAGCACCTCTTTTGCTTCGCGCTGAGACCCTGGTTAGTGCCTGGGACAGAGCAGGTGCTCAATAAACAAGGTGACTGAATGAAATGACCACCTCCTCCCCCATAGATCAAGTCATATCTGAGAAGTTATGATGTATGGAGAAGTTATGAGGATTGATACTGGAGGCCCGGTAACAATCAAGGGGTTCCTTGTTACTATTCACATACTCATCTGACAAACAGGGATAGGGTTTCTGCAAATGCACCAGACTGTGCCCTTCAGGTGTGGAGCCTGCCCAGAAGTACCTGGGGGCTGGGAGACTCCTTCTCATCTTGTAGTCAGCCCCAACGCGCGCTACCCTCCAGCCATCCTGCCTTTCTGTTGCTCAAAAGCGCTAACCGTTAGCTCTCCTACCCTCCTTGTGGTCAGCTCGAATGTCACTCTCCTGAGTAGACGTCCCCACCCTAACACCATTCCATTGCCTTCAGAGTATGTACCATGATCTGAAACCACTCGCTTGTCTATTTATGGTTCATTTCGCACCGAGGTGGAAGCTCCGTGAGAGTGACTCCCAGTCTAACTCCTGTAAACCGAGTACCCGGCCAACACTTTACGAATGAATGAAACTTAGTGAGGAGACGGACACGAAAAAAACTGCGTTACAGAAGAAGATGCGACTGGTTAAACAGAGGCTGAGTGTGGGGGCACGGGAAGACTTCCTGGAGGGGGCGGATGAGCGCTCAGGAACCATCAAATGACTCTAAACTGGCAAAGTGAAATATGAGTGCAGTTTCCGCAGGACGGCTCCCGGGCCTGCGCGGCTGGGCGATCACAGCCCAAGGGTCAGGATGCAAGACCCGCGTGGGCCCAGGCCCGCCCATCCCGCCCTCCTTATAGGCGCCGGCATGCTCAGTCCTGGCCAACCGGCACGAGAAGCTCCACCTTCCGGGGCCGGAGGGCGGCCTGAGGCGCTCGCTGTCACCCGCCGGGGCCCAGCCCCGCTGCCGCTGCAGCCCCGGAAAAGGCCACTCACCCCTCTTCC